GCTCGTGGGAAATGGCTTTAAGTGCTGCTTCCAAACCAGGATTGCAAACTGCGATTTGATACTGCTTTGCAATGCTCATTGTAGGGAGTTGGTAAAGCACAGTTTCCCAGGTTGGATGGCATAGGGAAACTGTGGTTTAACAAACCAGGGCATTGGAGCCAGGCACTTGGGAGGGGAAAGGAGTGGCGGTGCTTGACTTATCATTCGGTCATGCTCATACAAACCATGCTTTGTTGGACTGGCATCATGATGTCTGAACTGGACCTATTATGTACAGTGGTACCTCGGGTTAAGAACTTAATTTGTTCTGGAGGTCCGTTCTTAACCTGAAACTGTTCTTAACCTGAGGTACCACTTTAGCTAATGGGGCCTCCTGCTGCCGCTGTGCCACCGCGGCATGATTTCTGTTCTCATCCTGAAGCAAAGTTCTTAACCCAAGGTACTGTTTCTGGGTTAGCGGAGTCTTTAACCTGAAGCGTCTGTAACCCTGTACCACTGTACAGCTGATCTCATCAAGACAAACAAAACCCAAATAATTTTGGCAGCAGTGGTGTAGCAACCGCTGACAGCTTTTTATAGGAAATCAAATTTGTTGGTTTTGGGGATAAATCTCCAAAACTTCCGTAGCTGCCATTTTTGAGGGACTGGCAGTGGCACCCCCTCCCTGCAGCGTCCGAGATGCCCAGACCCCAGTGCAACTTTACAGCTCTCCCACCCACCCAATGTGGTGGCCTTCCCACCCCACCACTGCCTAGCTACTGTTTGGCATTTTTGACCTCTCCCTCACTTGATAATATCGGATGCTATGAAGGCAATTAATGAAACATTTGGTGCTGGGCACTGGGTGAGCATTGTGGAGATTGCTTCATGGGAAAGAGATGGTTATCCAATGCAAATACTTCATCTGTTTTCATTATATTGTAGAATGCTCTTTTCATCACCACCCCACCCACTCACCCCAGTCTGCTTTCATGAACTGTTTTACAAAATCATCAGAGCTTCTTCTCTTCTCCACTTTGCATTTAGAGAAAGCAGAGATTCAACCAGAGATGAGTACCACACATTTTGGAAGGTTTCTTTACCAAGAGAAGGGCTCAGGGATTAAGTACACGTAGTATGCAATAATAATAATAATAATAATAATAATAATAATAATAATTTATTTATACCACGCCCATCTGGCTGGGTTTCCCCAGCCACTCTGGGCAGCTTCCAACTGAATATTAAAAACAATACAGCATCACACATTAAAAACTTCCCTAAATAGGGCCTCCTTCAGTTGCCTTTTAAAAGTAAAATAGTTTTTTATTGCCTTGACATCTGCTGGGAGGGCGTTCCACAGGGTAGGTGCCACTACCGAGAATGCCCTCTGCCTGGTTCCCCGTAACCTCACTTCTCGCAGCGAGGGAACCGCCAGAAGGCCCTTGGCGCTGGACCTCAGTGTCCAGGCTGGATGATGGGGGTGGAGATGCTCCTTCGGATATACAGGACTGAGGTCACAATCCACACCATGCATTTAAACTGGTATCATGTCACTGTAACAGTCAAAGCTCATTCCGCAAAGAATTCTGGGAACTGCCATTTGTCAAGGGAGCTGAGAGTTGTTAGGAGAACTCTCACAAAGCTATAGTTACCAGTACCTTTGACAAACTACAGTTCCTAGGATTCTCTGGGGGAAGCCACAGCTGTTAAAATTAGTATAAGAGTGCTTTCAATGTACCTTGTGACCTAAATCTATTTATTCTTTCCCCAACACATACTCAGAGAATTTGCTGCGGGTGGAGGGAGGGAGTGTAATTTGGAGTGCAGACGTATAGAACAGGGAGACAGCTTAACTCCCTACTCATGGGAAAACCACAAAAACGCAGCAAAGCAACCTCCTTCCCTCACCTGAAGTGGAGTCCAAATAGTGTTAGAGCCAGCATCCTTAAAAATCTCATTTCACCTGTGTGTGGCTATGATGCTTCTGGCTGCTGAGAGTAGGTGAGCTATGAGTTCTTTGTGTTGTGAGTGGGCATTATTGTCTTGGAAGATGTTTAGTAGGGCCAATTCTGGGTGACTTCCACTACTTGCTTAGTTATTTTGTATATTTCTTGTATGACTGATGTCAAGAAAAGTTGGATTTTAGGACATTCCCACCACATGTGGAGGTATGTGCCTGTGGAAGTGCATCCTCTCCAGCATTTTGGTGAGGTTCCTGGGCGTATTAGCGCTAGTTTCCATGGTGTTAGGTACCACCTGTAAATGAGTTTCTGAGTGAATTCTTTTCTTTTTGCTGATATAGATTTAAAGGGAGGTTTAGACCACATTCTGGTCCATTGGGTGAGGTTAATTTCATAGCCTATGTCGTCCTCCCATTGTTTTTTGATTACGCACCCAACAGCACCCCACTCACCATTCCCCCCTCCACCTCTTTCCCCTTTTTCTTCCTAATGTAACACAAATGTCTCAACAAATGAAACTGATCTGCAGAAAACGTAACTTGAAAAAAGAGACACTGCACATACCATGAAAACCAAGAAATCTTTAATAAAAATATATTAAACAAAGAAACAAAAAATCTTGATTCACCATCTAGGCACTGATTCCTACCTTCTGTTTCTCCCTCCCTTCTGTTCACAGTTCATGCCTGAAGCAGGTTGCTTCAGAAGAAGAAGAAGAAGAAGAAGAAGAAGAAGAAGAAGAAGAAGAAGAAGAAGAAGAAGAAGAAGAAAAAGAAGAAGAGTTTGGATTTGATATCCTGCCTTTCACTCCCTTTTAAGGAGTCTCAAAGCGGCTAACATTCTCCTTTCCCTTCCTCCCCCACAACAAACACTCTGTGAGGTGAGTGGGGCTGAGAGACTTCAGAGAAGTGTGACTAGCCCAAGGTCACCCAGCAGCTGCATGTGGAGGAGCGGAGACGCGAACCTGGTTCCCCAGATTACGAGACTACCGCTCTTAACCACTACACCACACTGGCTCTCAGCACTGGCTCAGCATGGCCAGCCCTGTTATTAATGGTCCAGCTTATCCCTCACCATCATGAGGACTAGAAGTTTGATTTCTTAGCTTGAAAGCACTGCAGGATAATACAGTGCTCCTTGGATCGGTGTGGCAACTACTAAGGATAAGTATGGTAAGGCTATACAGTGGTACCTCGGGCTACATATGCTTCAGGTTACATACGCTTCAGGTTACAGACTCCACTAACCCAGAAATAGTACCTCGGGTTAAGAAGTTTGCTTCAGGATGAGAACAGAAATTGGGCTCCGGCGGCGCGGCGGCAGCAGGAGGCCCCATTAGCTAGAGTGGTGCTTCAGGTTAAGAACAGTTTCAGGTTAAGAACAGACCTCCAGAACAAATTAAGTACTTAACCCGAGGTACCACTACACAAGCAAAGTGGTTTATGAAGGTGATTTGTTTATGACTCCTGGACAAGGAAGAAAGGCTGAGAAGGTTTCCTTTTCTTACAATTATGTATGTATTCATTTCCCTCCTGTAAACAAACTCAATGAAGCTTCTTCTAAAAATATCTGGAGGGGGAGGAAATTGGTGCCTAGCTCACCCCTCCACCCAACCTGAAAAAGACAGCCAAAGCCCATTTTGTAGCAGAAAAAAGTCTTCTTTGACATTAACCATGATGTATGGAGGCTGCAACTTGAAGCAGATGAACACATGATGAAGTGAAGGAAGGAAAAGCTCTCTCTGCAGAGGTGGTTGTCTTAATCAATTAGTTTCCTTTCTTGAAATGGCAGCCAAGACAAATGACATCCCCTGGGCAGTATTTTGAGCTGACCCTCTTGAGTTCAGTTGCCAATAATGGCCAGAAATCAGAAAATCTGAATTTTAATTTTTTAAAAAAATGAATAATTTGAAAGCAAATGTTTCTGAATAACCTCTGCTCCTTGTTTACATTCCCACCTTGAATTTATTCTGATGTTCATCTTCTACCCATTGGAGGCAAAGTTACAGACTGATATTTAATGGGCTTTAGCAAGTTTTGCAACTGCAGACTCCCTGGATCTGTAACATGCAGCCAAAGTCAAGCATTTCTGTGTCTTCCCATCTATGCACGACTAGTCTGATTTAAGAACCACTGTAAATTACTATTTTTACTTATTATTTACAGTGGGTCTTAATAATAATTTATAATAATTTATACTGAATTGAAAAAAATGTTTAAAAGCACTTAAAAAAAACCAGAGTCCTTTTTGTTGGGGATAATTCAGATGGAAAGGTTATTTATATATGCCACTACGGCGGCCCATGTTTTGTTAGCTCCAAAATGGAAAACGAGTGAGGTCCCAACTAAAGAAGAATGGCAACTTAAACTGATGGAATATGTGCAGCTTGTGGATCTAACATATAGAATAAGAGAACAAGAAGAACATACGTTTAAAGAAGACTGGAAAATGCTTATTGAATATATGGGGGGAAATTGTGTACACTTGAAAATGTTGGCAGCATTGAGATAAATTCAACAGTTTAAATAAGTTTTGATGGAAGTAATAATGGAATACTGAATGGTTTAGTTTATATAAAATATGCTTTTTTATGGGATTTATGATATGTAAAATGAACCATGGAAAGAGAAGAAGGGAAGTCACTGATATTTTAAGGTTGTTTAAATGAATATTCTAAATTGTAAAACAGAAAATTTAAAAATTATATATATATATATGAATTAAGACACACTGAATCCAACCTGTGTTGGTATTTAGTGTCACGATCAAAAACAGATGAGGACCTGAGCAGTGAAGAGGGACCCTGTATGGGTTCCAGTGGAGACTGGGAACCTGGGAAGTCAACATCCCCTAAAAGACAGCCTGAGCTTGCTCCCCCACTCATGAAACCCCAAATGCAGAGGAGGAAATATCCAGTATCTCAATGCAGCCAGCTCTCAGAATCTCAGCATCAGAGGGGCCCTCAGCAAGCCTGGTTTGAAAACGTTGTTATACCCTTCCACTTAACATGGCTTGAACTGTCCTGACTGAGAGGACAAGTTCCCCTGCAAAGATTGAGCACTGAAATAGCTCAGTCAGTCAAGCACAAGACTCTTAATTTCAGGGCCGTGGGTTTGATCCCCATGTTGGGCAAAAGACTCTAGCATTGCAGAGAATTGGACTAAATTACGCTTGTGGTCCCTTCCACTTCTACAAGCTTATGAAATGGAAGAAGGCAGCCTGGCCTTTTGTTTAAATCTCTGAGGATGGGAAGATGCAAAGGACTCTGGAATGCAGTGGAATATCACCAGGCCAATGAGCATTGAGCTTGTCCATCTCCAAAACTTGCAGGCACTTGTCCTGGAATTTTGGCATCCCGGACAATTGCCTAGATCCCCTCTTGACCAAGCCAGCTCTATCAGGAACTATCGTGGGAGCTAAGCCAAACTGACAACGAGAACTGGAAACGTAAGACCTGGCTTATTTGCGCATGAAGTTTTTCTGGCTGCCTTTCTATACTTTTATTTTGGATGCATGAATTTTTAAAGACTCCTTGCTTGAATGGAGATTATACGATGAGGATCACGGCATTAGACTTGGTTGTTTGTTCTGTAGCAGTTGCACCATTAACAGCCACAGTTATGGATCCTGCTTGGCAGTAACATTGTCACGGTTCCAAAAAACTACTCAAGTGCTCAGACTTCCCCATGTGGTTTTAGGATTCCTTCCTTTAAGGAGAAGACTCCTATGCAATATTGCAATTTTCTGAAACTACTCTCATGTGTTGGGTTGTTGTTTTTTGAACTGCAAATTGAATATGAACTGCGCTAGCTTGCTATGTAAAGTAGAGTTGCATTATTTCAAAATGAACTAGCTCCTTCTTAAAACAAACTTTCCAAACTCTTGTCATCTGCTGCGTCTCCCTTCATGATGAGCAGGACTTCTATGCTCTGACACGAAGACAGAGAATAGAGTGTAGTTTTTGTGGGGATGATTAGAGAGACAGGAGAGGATATATTATTTAATGATATCCTTCCTCACTTGTGTTAGCAAGTTCCAGATCCTAGCAGAGTTCCAAACATCCCTCTTTTTAAATTACGCAGTGGTTAGCTTGTTGCTGGCTCGTCTGAGCCTTACTACTTAAGATTCCTGGTAAGATCCTTTCTAATCCCTCTTTAAAAGAATGGACACAAGAATCTGATTAAACTTAATATAAAAGTAGTTTACTCAGAGATTCATTCATGTTCGCAATAGATCCCTGAAGGCAGGCTTAGGTTACATAACTATATATCTACATGAACTGTTCCATAAGGGAATTAGTCCCAAGTGATTGCAACTGAGCAGTCACTTCTCCTAACACACAGGAAAACAAAATGGAGAAGAAGAAGAACAGAACAACATGGAGGAATGTCTGCTCCTCTGCCCAGAATAGCCCACACCCTCTTCAAGTCACATGCAGTGGAAGTCTGTCCCAGCTTAGGAGGAAACAGGAAGTTTTCTCCTGAGTGGTACAAAACATCCCCTAACATGTCCACTGTAGGAATGTTGAACTTGACTGCTATAAGTTTCACACCCCACAGTTTCCCCCCAAAGGAAGGGTGCAAGAAACAGCTGTCCCAAGCTCCGAGAGACCAGGGACCATGAGACTGTGACAATACACAGACACACGTCTCGTATGCCAAGAAAGATCATAAGAAATGATGATGAGAACTTGAGCAATGCCTTCTCCCATATATTCCTGGGTCTTTATTGAAAACCCTTCTTCAAGCTGTGCTTCCTAATGTGGCAAATGCAGAGAAATGTCAGGCTGTAGTCGTCAGCTATGATCCCTCACACTAATGAACACTTGAAGGATGTTCACGTTACATTCAACAAGTGTACAATCTGTGTACCTGTGCACACACTAGTTGATCTATGTGAATTGGCAAGCATACACTCCTCCAGTGTAATGTGTGAATAAGCCTTTGATGAAGGATGTAGGCAGTCTGAATGGGACCTATGTGAATGATGTGTAGATTTCAAATCAGACATAGATTCTTCTAAGACTTGTTGATAAACTGAGATGTCATAGGACATCCTTATTATGAAAACATTTTGTTGCTATTTTTTTTAAAAAAATACATTGATCATGTTCATGAATTTACTTATTAATATTTCTATTTATCTCTCTCTCTCTTTGAAGCAGCTCTGGGAACTTAGGATACCTCTGGCATAGCTGCGGCACCATAGACAGGTCACTGGGAATGACCCACGAGCTCTGGGGTCTACTAGTGAGGAATATCCAGTGGGGGGGGGAGAATTTCAAACTAAAATAAAACTGTGCCCCAAATTCTTATGATTCCACTCTACTAATTTTAATGTCAATGGCAGGCATCAGAGGATACAACCCCCACGGTAGGTTGCCAGGAACGGATAAGACAAGGAAAGTTCTTACCAAGGCTTTTTATTCAATATTCACAGAAAGAGGCTTAGAAAGGCACCCTCTTGGAGTAATGGTGTTGCTGCGAGTGAAATCCCACCCCCTCCGTCTCTCCCACTTCCTCGTGAGTCGGCACTATAGGTGCTGGAAAGGGGCTTTTGCCTTTTGCTCTCCTACTTTCAATGCCCGCTGGGTTCTGGGAGAGGGGGATCTGGAATGCTTTCTAAAGACACTGTGTCCGTCAGCTGTCTCTCCCCTAGTGCTTCTTCTTCCTCCTCCTCCTCTCCCATTATTTCCCGGCTTTCCCGCTCATCTTCCTCTGAGCTGTGACTTCCCTCAAACCCCTGTTGTAATTCTGAACTGTCTCCTTCTGCTCTGGAAGGGTCAGGCTGGGGAGGTGGTCTCCATGATTCCTCCTCTGCCCAGTCCCTGACAGTCAAATAGTAATGTCAATTGGAGTAATGCCAGATATACTCGGCACATTCCAAATAGCCAGAGCGGTGCCATGGTTAAGAGTGCTTGTCTATGACCTGGGAGACCAGGGTAGGAGTCCCCACTCAGCCATGAAAGTCGTGACCTTGAGCCAGTCATGGCCTCACAGACTATCCCACCCCACAGGGTTGTTGAGGGGATAAAATGGGGAGGAGGAAAAGTACATAGGCCACCTTGAGCTCCTTGGAAGAAATGCAGGATAACAATACAGTGGTACCTCGGGTTACACACGCTTCAGGTTACAGACACTTTAGGTTACAGACTCCACTAACCCAGAAATAGTATCTCAGGTTAAGAACTTTGCTTCAGGATGAGAACAGAAATCGTGCTCCAGCGGCACGACGGCAGCAGGAGGCCCCATTAGCTAAAGTGGTGCTTCAGGTTAAAAACAGTTTCAGGTTAAGAACGGACCTCCAGAACAAATTAAGTTTTTAACCCGAGGTACCACAGTATAGATGGGACGCAGGTGGCACTGTGGGTTAAACCACAGAACCTAGGATTTGTCGATCAGAAGGTCGGCGGTTCGAATTCCCGCAGCAGGGTGAGCTCCCGTTGCTCAGTCCCTGCTCCTGCCAACCTAGCAGTTCGAAAGCACGTCAAAGTGCAAGTAGATAAATAAGTACCACTCCGGTGGAAAGGTAAACGGCGTTTCCGTACGCTGCTCTGGTTCGCCAGAAGCAGCTTAGTCATGCTGGCCATATGACCCGGAAGCTGTACGCCGGCTCAGCCAATAAAGTGAGATGAGCACCGCAACCCCAGAGTCGGCCACGACTGGACCTAATGGTCAGGGGTCCCTTTACCTTTACTTACCACTGTATAACAAACAAGCAAACAAATATTGGATATGCATTTGACATCCAGCGCTGTTTGATTTCCTTATTTGATGTTTGGCAATTGACAATGAGCACCGGCCGCCATTGGTAGAAAGGCGCAGGATTACACAGTTAAAAGTCCTCTAATGCCTTTTCTTCTGGACGACCGGATGACTCTACTCTCCAAAGCTCTCCAAGATTATCCTTAGTCTTCAAAACCTGCCACCTCTTTGATGGAATAGCCATGATGATATAAGTACTATCTGGATGCTAAACGAATGCATTGCTTCAAGTGCCAAGGCAGTGTCGATCCAAAAAAAGAAAAAGGGGGAGGGAACCCCACTCTATAAAAACAGAGCAGTCTGAGCCAAGATCAATGACTTTTATGGCTTTTGGCTGCGGGAAATCACACAAAGCACCCATTTTGCAGGAGATAATGAGGTTAAGACTGGGAGAAGAGGAAATAGGTGGAATATGTGCAATTAAATATAAGAGGGTGAAAAGAAGAAACAGGGGTGATCATAAGCCTTTGAAATGGACAGCATTATCCTAAGGATATTTTTTCACCAATCCCATTGAATTAATTGTGACCTGTTTCTCAGGATGTTGGTTATGATTATAGTCTTAGTCGGGTGTTTGCAGGATTGTCAGAAAGGTGGGGTGGGTTGGAAGAGAACAAAGCCCTTCCAAAAATTATCAAGGGTTGGGGACTTCCGGGGTGGCGCCATCGGCAATGGCGGACTCCCTCTGAACTGGAGGGACCAGCTCCACACAAAACGGGTCCTTTCCGCTACGGCGAAGCGGGGACCCTTCCAGAAATAACAGGCGGATGAAGCCTGTGACCGTGGGACTCGGCGGGCACCCTTAGCACCCCCCAACCCGCAAAGGAACCCACTAACGGGCTCCGAAGCGAAGAGGGGAAAGTGGCACGGTGCTGAGAGTCAATTGCTTTTTCCGTGGAGCGAAGCCGCATAGCCGTTGCCGGAGAGCGCTGCCTTTTTCCTGGGACAATTTGGCATCTAAAATAATCACCCGTGAGTACTTAAACATTGAACAATTGGACTTTAAATAAGAACTGGCAAGCAGAAAGGAATTGGACTTAAAAATTCACCTTAATTTGGTACTGAAACGGGAAGGTCTAAACAGGAAGTCAGCCTTCCGTTTCCTTGTAGTCAGAATAAAGCAAAGACAACGTAAACTAGAGCCTAGAAAATCACTTTCAAAGGATTGGTTTTCATCATTTAAAATTGTTGAACCCCCCTTCGGTAGCAGGAGAAGAAGGGGGACCTTTTTTGGACTGTTTAAACCTGCAGAAGTGAGTTTAAAGCAAAGTAACTTTCCACCGTCCTGATCCTGGAGCGGGGTGTCAGAATTGACGTTTGAAGCTCATTGACCAGAGACAAATGTCTTTGACAGATAGCTAAAAGAAG